GCGGCATTCCTCTTCGCCTAAGCCTCGAAAATTCAAGCAAACACAGTCTGCCGATAAAGTCATGGCAACTGTGTTTTGGGATCAAAACGGGGTATTGCTGGTTGACTTTATGGAAACTGGGACCACAATAAACGCTGAGAGATATTGTGAGACACTGAGAAAACTCAGGCGGGCGATTCAGAACCGGAGAAGAGGGATGTTGAGCAAGGGCGTAAGCATTCTCCACGATAACGCTCGCCCCCATGCTGCCCGACAAACCGTCGCTCAACTGCAACAGTTTGGATGGAACATCATCACCCATCCACCCTATAGTCCGGACTTGGCGCCCAGTGACTACCATCTCTTTCCAAAGTTGAAAGAACATTTGTCTGGAAAGCGCTTCAACAACGACGATGAGGTGAAAGCTGAGGTTCGAAGTTTCCTGAACAGCATGGAGGTGAACTGGTATGACATGGGCATACAAAAACTGCCACTGCGCCTACAAAAATGCATCGACCGAAATGGCGATTATGTAGAGAAATGAGTACATGTTCAAGATTCAACTGATGTATCCAAAATTGAAAATAAATGTTTATTTTATATTTTCAAACATAGGAGACCTTACTTTTGGAATTACCCTCGTATTATGCCGAACATGAGGATCCTCGGAAGCAAAATATGTGGATTGTGAACCCTTTTGTTGAACACAAAGATACAGCCCTTTCCCATGAAGAAACCCTCCAACTTATTGAATTGTCATCGGACAAATGACTGGAAAGTACTTTTAATACGAGTAATTCAAAATTCTGGATAAGAATGAAAAATTAATATCCAAATTTACATGAAATAGCAGTGAGGTTTCTTCTTTGTTTTTCCATCACATATCTTTGTGAAACTGCATTTTCTACCATGACTGTGCTTAAAACAAAACAGAGGAACTGCCTGCAACTTTCTGACTCTCTCCGTTTGGCTCTCATTTCAATTCATCGCAGAACTAATAACCTAATGGACGGAAAACAGAAACAGAAGTCTCACTAGCCTAACTAAAACCTTCCAAACTCAGTTGTGATAAAAGAAACTAAGTTTAACTTCCCATTATCTTATAATTGCTGTGTTAAAGTGCTGCATCTTTAAAATCAAAATATTAATTAGTGTTGGAAGTAGTGTTTAGAATTGAGATATTCATACATTTTTATTTATCAAATTACATACTTTACATATATAATTATTTGGCGTGTGTATGTGATAATAAATGTTTTGCCGGCAAGTTGACATCCTTCTGCTTCTTCCCCTACTCAGCTGACTTCTATGGTGAGTTACAATGCATAAATATTTTTCTCACTGCCATTTTTTTCAAACCAACATCATTCAAATCGATTTAATAATACAATAATCAATTTTACGCTGAATAACATAAGTTTTTGGTGATCAGCATGGGATATGTCAATGAATATTAGCACAAATTAATTTAATGATGTCGGTCTGAGGAAACTACAAAATGCTACAAGATTTCATTAGTTCAGTGATTGAAAACTAATTTAAATGTAATTTTATGTTTGTCAACATGCCACACCATATACATAAGCGTACTAATACTCTTTATGATAATGCTATAATTAATTACTAATATTACGTTAGCTTAATGCATGAACTTTAACAAAACTGGAAAGGTATTTACGAGTAAATTTGTTGGGACTGGGCAATCGTCTTATAAAAAAAGAGCTTACTGGGCCCCTGTCTCATAAAGGTTGAGAACCACTGGTCTATTCTTACAAAGAACATGTTACTTAAGACTGGTAGAATAGAGATAAGTTCACAATAACATCCACACTCCGCCCGTTCCTTTCAGCCTTGTGTATAGTGTTATTTTTTATTGAGAGCTTGTCAAAACTAGCCCCATGTGTGACATTTCAAGATGCATGCGATACTTAGAATCCCTAAAAGGTTCACTGAACTTAAGGCTGCTAACGATACACACAGGAAGGTCTAGAGACGAGCTAGCCCCTGCATTATTATAACTGTACAAATAAGCTGTGATATGGCCAAGACATCACTATTACATTTTCATGTCTCCTTAATTACATCTTGATAACGAGAAATATTAATATTTTGATACAAATTTGATTTCAATAAACAGAATAAAATATGAATGAATATGAAAATTCAATACTACAACAAAATCAGGTGGGGCTTAGCCCCTTTAGCCCCTAATGACGCACCACCCCTGTATGGACTTAACCTTGAGAGAAGAATACTGGATAAAATTTTGTATGAAGATGATTGCAGTGATATCCCCTGATAATTACTACAGTCACTTCTATCACACTTCTTGTGAACTGGTACAATAAGAGAATTCCTTCCACTGATCAGGAAATTTTTCCTTATGCCAAACAGAATTAATCAGATTGTGGATCTTAGAATGTAATATTTCGCCTCCTGCTCGAATAAGTTCTGCGGAATTTGATCACCACCTGGTGATTTATACCATTTCACTTTTGCAATAGCACTTTCAACCTCAAAAGGGCTAGGATCAGGTATTAATGACTCAGCTGTATGGATTTCTGTCTGCCTCATATCACTGACCCTATGTACATTCAATAACAGAGAATTAGTTCCTCCACCTATTCAAAATGTTGTGGGAATCTGCAAGCAGATCACCATTCTCATCCTTCAGTAAGTTACTTCTAGGTTGGTAACCCCTCTTAAAGTCATTTATTCCTCTATACAGGTCTGTAATGTTCTTGTTCTTACTGTTCATTCCAAGCTCATCACTTTTGTCTTTCAGATATTCCCTCTTTTTGTTCCTGAAATGCCTGCTGGTTTCATGTCTTATACTGTTCAGATTATCCCCATTGCAATTTGGCTTGTTTTCTTTGATTTAGTAATTTTAGCATCCTTCATCGAACCATGGCTGATGCTTCTTCAATTCATAATAACCTAGACTCTCCTTGGCAGAAATATTTATATTCTTTCTAATAGTTTCCCAAGCTTTATTAACATCCACCTCAGTTGCCAACTTCTCAAGATGGACTCAGCTTCATGTAGTTGGTTATTTATAACACAGCTGCACAGAACACTAGCTGGAAACTAATATCCAACATACTCATTCAGCAGGCTGGATCTGCAATAATGCATCTGACTTGCATTCTGCAATCTTGACTGAAGCCTCTCAAGATTTTTCTGTCCTTCCAGATGAAAGCTAAGTTAGTTCACTTAAAGGAGCTGTGACTTCTAAATACCTTCCTTTCTGATTCAATATTTACTGTCAACCTCACATTTCATTTGATGTTAAATAAAATTAGAACTGATATAGTACCTTACATAACCCATAACACTGTACAATAAAACAACTTTCCCTCTGCTATTAAGAAAACGAGTGATTCTAATAAATTTGAATTTGTTGAATTTCAATTTCAGACTGAAAACTGTGTATCACCGACCATTTTCAAAGAAGAAGCATCAAAATTTAACACACAGCAAGCCATTATTAAGAGAGATAACATCATATGAATTTATCCTTGCATTATCAATAAAAATATTATCAATTGCAGAGCTTTTGGTCTCAGTTATTCTAGTTGGGAACTGTACAGTATGAATTATATTATATTTTTGCAACAACAATAGTAGCTGTGTTTTGCATGTTTTCTCTTCTAAATAATTTATGTTAAAATCACCACATATTACAAATTCAACTTTTGGTTTATAGTGTAATTTGAGTACTTTATCAAGCTTGTTTACAAAATACTAAAAATTCCCACATGACCTATATATACACAGTACTAATAAGTTAGTTTTAGCTAAAGGTGACCTATATATAAACAGTGCAAAGGAACTCATACGAGGGCCTTCTACTAAAAGAGCGAAGGAATTGTTGAAGTTAAACAGGAACCAGCTACAATGGGTGGTAGGACTACTTACAGGACACCTGTTCAAACTGGGACTAAGTGATAGTCCCACTTGTGAGAGGTGTCAAGCAGTATACGAAACAGCTACACATATCCTGTGTGAATGTGGGGCCTTAGCTTATTTAAGACTGCATCGCTTGGGTCAATACTTTATGGAACCAAGTGACTATTTCAACGCCCCACATACAAAATTCTGCGCTTCATTTGAAGCGCGGATTTGCTGAGGGGATAATCAAAAGGTGAAGCACAATAGACCACCATAGGTCCCGGTGCAAGTGCCGAGAAGGCCTACCACTCATACATTCATTCATTCATACATACACAGTACTAAGTTGGTTTTAGCTATTGAAATGTTAAGTGAACAAATTTCTCTGTTCTTTTCATCACAGAACTGTGCTAAATTAACAGCAGTAAATTTTATATGTGATGTTATACATATACAAACACCTCCTCCTTGATGAATCATGCGGGAATACTTCGTTCCCCAGTGTAATTCTGGAAATTGCTTATGATCATTTCTGGTCTGACATATGATGCTCAGATAAGCAATTAGCTGTGGGTTTATATTATCCATCACCATATCATTACATGAACAATAGTATTATCTAACATTGTCGAAGAGACGTGCACGAAATTGAAACACAGCCACTTCAGATCCTTGAGATCATGTGAGCAACTAATCGAACCTAAGTTTCCTCAGTGTGCATCTGCTAATCTGGAAAGCAGTTTCCTACCCGTTCTTACCTGTAAGCGGCGACATTTCTCAGAAATTGTGGTTGCGTTTCGGTAGTCAGTTTCCTTGGTGTTCCCTCGGCCTAAATATTAAAAAAGCATTGGTGATAGAGATATCCTTCTCCAACTCCATTATTAATTTCTGTAGGAGCATTACAATTTACTCTATCCCCCTGCTATTGTACCCTTAAACAGTAAAGCTCTGTTGTTTAGAGATATCCTTATTACGAATCTACATGATTATTATCAGTTTGTTTCTGGAGCTACTGTAATCCGCTTTAGCTTATCGAGTCTGATGAGAAATAGTTCAGTCAACAGTCATCGGGAACTGTTCCCTTAAATGACGCTGTTCCTTGACATGATTCACGTACAACAATAACCTACTTAGTGAATCCGAGGTAGTAGTTGACAGAAACGTATGGTATTGCTCCATTTGCTGGATCCGAAGTGTTGTCTAAATGTCACTAAAATCACTAAATGTAAGAAGAACAATTCCCATTCGGAATTCCTAGCCGTAATCATCTTCAAATAGTCTGTGACGGTAGTACACGGATGAGAGTAGTAGTAGATGGTATGTACAAATTAAGAAATCGGGTGTTCATTTACGTTTATTATATGCTTCCTAATCCGTGACTTTTGTTGTGTTGATGTTAGTGTATTCTTATTTAGTATTTTTGTGTAGTATGGGCTTATTATAAGAGTTATTAGCAGGTGTGGGAAATCAAAGCCATGGATATATTGAAATTAGAAATTCAGAGGAAGAGGAAGGAACTCGAAGATAAGAAATTGTTGGTAAGGTTTTGTTAGACAATTTTGAAAACAATGCCATACTTGAAGTAGCTTTTTTTTAAGTGAATGTCTGTTGCTCTTAAAAGGCAGTAGGAATAAGGAAATTTGTAGAAAACAATGGAGTGGTATATATTTTTCTTTTCGTCTTTGTAAAAGATAGATGAAAATAACCAGTAGACGGTGACATACCTTGGTTTCAGTTCAACAAATATTTTATTTTCATTATTTCCTCAGAATAATACTTCTGTAGCCCAAGTATTATGTTTGAGTCTGTAATTCATCAGTGTACATGAGATGTTGCTCGAAAATGTTAGCTGCACCGACTACAAACATACAAGTGAGGTAGTCAAAGCTGGAAAGAAGGGATGTAGATTCTGTTGTATCATAATAGAAATTTGGAATTGTGGGCTTCGTTATGTATTACTAGGCCATAACCTAACACATTGGGATGTAGATTTTGTTGTATCACAACAGAAATTTGGAATTGTGGGCTTCATTGTACTGACACCTGAAACCTTTGAGAGTTCTATACCGGGGGAGTTTTGTTGTATATGTGGCTGATATGTTCTTTTTTTATTTTGTTTTATATTATGAATGCCTTGACTTGTTCCTGTGGGAATGGAATGTTTGTTTTTTGATCTGTGACTCATTCTATATCCAGTGGTTGTTTCCCAGCCTGTATCTGGATCTATTTTTGAATTTGAAATAAATTGAATTGAATTGAATTATTATTAGGCCATGTGATGGAAATTTACTGATCAAAGTTGGTCCTACATAAGCAACGCAAAATGTTGTTAGAGCAACAGAATATTATGTACATTGCCACCATATTTGGTACCTTAGAACTATGATGTATAGTTCTGTTTCAAGAGTGATGAAGATGGCTGCCTTGTGGCATAATTCTGACACAATTCTTCTGGTATTTAAAGTTACCACAAATGGTTGATGACGTTAATTTTGTCATCATTCATTCTTTCATTTCCTTTATTTTCCATATATCCATACAGGTAACAAACCTAGAATGTGGATATGGTCCATTTGAAAATAGATATATCAAGGTACATATACAAAATTACACGAGTCACATAATCAAAATCACTTACATTAATCAATTAACATAATAATATAAAGTAAAAATTTAATAACATAATTTTAAAATAACTTACTATAAACTTGAATTTATGCAATTTTATTTAAATTGCCTACATTAACTGAATTAAATATGTTACAAATTTACACACTTATGACAAATTATGTTGATAATATTCATTCATGGAATAAAAAGAATGATGATATAAAAACCTCTTCAATGCAGATTTAAAACTTCTCTCATCTCTAGTTTCTCATCTCTCATCTCTCTAGGGCTCTAGTTTTGTGAATCTCATTCTTAAAATCAAATAAATGTTTATTATTAATTGTGTATAAAAGTAATGAATATATGTACTGAGAGTAGAACATCATTATTTGCAAANGTCACATAATCAAAATCACTTACATTAATCAATTAACATAATAATATAAAGTAAAAATTTAATAACATAATTTTAAAATAACTTACTATAAACTTGAATTTATGCAATTTTATTTAAATTACCTACATTAACTGAATTAAATATGTTACAAATTTACACACTTATGACAAATTATGTTGATAATATTCATTCATGGAATAAAAAGAATGATGATATAAAAACCTCTTCAATGCAGATTTAAAACTTCTCTCATCTCTAGTTTCTCATCTCTCATCTCTCTAGGGCTCTAGTTTTGTGAATCTCATTGTTAAAATCAAATAAATGTTTATTATTAATTGTGTATAAAAGTAATGAATATATGTGCTGAGAGTAGAACATCATTATTTGCAAAAATGTCCGTACAAGAGTCTCTTGGTCTAGAATTCGTTATAATTCTTATAACTTTCTTTTGCAATGTAAAAATTTTGTTAACGCAAGAAGAGCCACCCCAAAAATTATACCATAACTTATGATAGAATGTATATGAGCAAAGTAAATTAGCTTTAACACATCTAAAGGGACAATATATTATATATTTCTCAATGCATAACATGCAGTGGAAATTTTATTAATAACATAATCAGTACGCTGTTTCCATGAAAGAGTTATCATCAATAATTAATCCCAGAAATTTTGTCTCAGTCACATTTGTTAAATTTATCTGAGCATAGTTAACTTGAGTAGTGATATTATAATAATTCATAGGTTGAAACTTGACATATTGAGTCTTATTAAAATTCAAGGTAAGCAAATTGGCATTAAACCATGTATTTATATTGTTGAAAGTTTGATTAATATTTATTTCAAAGTTTAACTTATTAGTGTCAGTTACATTAATATTGGTGTCATCTGCAAATAATACCATATTATTTTTTTTATTATTTTAGGAAAATCATTAAAATAAAGCAGAAAAAACTAGGGAACAACAATCGAGCCCTGTGGAACACTGCATTTAATTGTTTCCCATTTGGATGAGTTGTTACTGTCAATTCTGTTACCCAGTACAACTCTTTGTTATCTACCTGTCAAATAAGATCCAATAAGTGTTTTCAGTTTTCATTCAGTTACATAGAATTCCAATTTATCCAATAATATTTTATGGTTAATAGAATAAAATGCCTTTTGTAAATCACAAAAAATGCGTCCCACCAATAACTTATTATTCATCACGTTAAAATATTATTTATCAATGTAAAAGCTGCCATTTCAGCTGAGGAGTGTGTCCTAAAACAACATTGTTTGTGTACCAACAGATAGAATTTAAGGAGATACAGATATATCATGCCCTTTCAGGTGAAGGGACATGAAATGTTGATGTATATAATGAAGAACTGTTTGTAGCATTTAACATTCATCACTTGAAAGTGAACTTAAAGTTGCATAAGTGGATAATATTGTTACATTTGCATCTGGAATTATAGTTAGAAAACCCTCCCATAAAGATATTAGACATGAAGATAATTTTCACTGACAATTCATTTTTTAATTTTCCATGTAGCAGCCATCAAAAAAGTACTTCAAGAGAGCTGATTTGTCTCAAAAAGAGGAAGAAGAGTATTTAAAAAAATATGGATCAGAGTGTGATGAGATGCAATCTGATGTAGGCAAGCCCACAACAGGTAGAGTGTTGCTTTGTTTAGTTGCTGCATTGTAAATAAATCTCTTTACCTTGTACTGTGCTAAGCCTAGAATGTTTATATAGTTTGCTCTTGATTATCCATGCACAGATTGTCTGGTGTATGGCTTATCCATATGCCATTTGGAGAATTTGCAGCTCTATGATGTATTGTATCGTATTGTATTTAATACATGTTCCAACACCTCCATACGAGGCCAAAGCCACTGGATACAGAACCTGTCACACCACAAGCTTGCTAAATCAGCATGTAGTCAACAGAACAAGGCATATAAATCCACAACAATAAATCAAGTATATGAAACCCTACACATCACTGCAACTACACAACCTACCATATTTATATAAAATATAATACAAAATTGGAACATATACATTACAATAGATCAAATAATGGGTCATAGCTAAACAAGAAACTGTCCCTAATTAAAATATTCGTCTAAAGTGTAATAGGATTTAGTATGTAAAAAAGCACTTAATGCTGCTCTAAATTGCTTAATATTATGGATTTTTTATTGCTAGTGGAGTGGGACTAAGTCCCTTGTACTGCGGCCACTTCTGGCCTATTGTACCAGCCCCAGATAATAGGTGAGGGTGATTGTGGAGCAATTGGTGGAATGAAGATTGGAAGAGGAAACCTGCCCCGGCGCCACTTTGTCCACCACAAATCCCACTTCACCAGACCCAGAATCGAACCTGGGCCGCCGCGGTGGGAAGCCACCAACTAACTGCTTGAGCTATGGCATGGCCATATTATGGATTAACTCTTATATATGTACCCATCAAGTTTGCTCATTCTGTATGCATCAATATGCTCAAGAACCACTGGATGGATTTTAATGAAATTTGGTATTTGGGAATTTTACAAATAATTGTCAAGCCACTTTGGATCACTTTAGAGTGGAGAATTATAACAACCAGTTTACATGAGAGTTTACATGTTCTTTATGTATCTTACGGAATATTTATTGGTGTAAAGAATGCTTTGAACAGAAGTTAGCATTTAGAAAAAAAAACGAAATATTTTATGTTCAGTACACTTTCTATGAAGTTTCTGAGATAAGAACCACACATTGTATTATATTGTCATGTGTTGGGTGTATAACGCGACAGATAACTTCACACCATGTTGGATAGAGTGAATTTATTGCACATTTGCTCTTACATTCACACAATTTACAATTACACAATTACTGCCATCGGTAATATCACAACTCACTCCGGAGAATGCTAGACTGCAACTGACTGGTTACTTGTTACTCACTACTCCCGAATAGTGTTCGCTGCTCCTTATTTAGGCTTGGCATGGACAGCATAGAGATCAGTTACGTGATAGGTACCGCTGTTGCATAACATCGTGTTTACCGATTGCATAGCAACAGTCATTGCACGGACTCCCCTGTTGCGTGACGCTGTGTTTACAAAGGTGTTGCTGGGCAATGCTACCGAGAGTTGTTTATTGCTGCATAGCAACCGTGGTGTCCCCTGTTACGTCACCGTGGTGGAGGGGGACGGGGTGTTTACCGCGCATTGCGCCGTCCATGTCACACTTCTCCCTTCTAAAGGTTGTTTGTCTCGAACAGTCTAATGTTACATCCCCGATCATTTTTCTTCTCGTCTGCTCTGCAACTGCTACATCTGCCCCTTCCTTAAAGGTGCTCGTCCCAAGCAATTCCATGGTCCAGCGTTGTATCACATTCGTCCCTCACATTCATCCATCGCTCATTCACTCGTTCTAGCTGGGGAGGCCAGTGCTTCTGTGTTACCAGTTCCTCCATCATGCGCTATTCCATTTTTTCGTTTCGGAGGGGGTCAACCCCTCCACAAGTTCTAATCCTTGTCCTGTCGTAGGCTGACAGAAGATCCGACTATTCGCTTCGCAATCTTCTCGCTGACAATCTCGTAGTAGGTTTTCTTACAAGTTCTTCTCCCTCCTAGGTGCGATCGCTGTCCTGGCACCTTTTTGTTCTGGTATAGCTGCCGTCTGCCGCCTATGTTCTTTATTCCCATTCTTCCTTTCCAGGTTTGTTGTTCAGCATTGAACCTGGTTGAATATTTCTTTATGAAATCTCCTTTGCGCCATGTCACACCTGCATGGCTAGTCATATTTCTGTTGGCAGCCAATTCGTGCCACGGTCCACACTTTCCATGGGTCGTAGATTTCCTTAAGATGTTCCCTTTGTGCCATGCCACTGTTGCATGGTGGGACACCTTCCTGCTGGTGGTAGGCAACTTCCTCTGGGATCCACAAATTCCTCGGGTCAGTTTCTTCGGCTCCCCGCATTGCCCTTCAGCTTGCCTTTTGCCCCTATGCCGCTTCCTCCATCTTCTGACCAGTTTCACTACGGCGTCTTTTACCGGTATCTCTTCTTCTTCTGATGTCTCAGGTTTCCTGTCCACTGAGGTCAGCTTTTCTTCTTCTGGATGTGCCTCCATTTCCTGGCAGGCAATTGTCTCCATGTCTCTTTCTGGTTTGGTTTAGGCAGCCATCTCCTTGTGGCTGTTTCTTATATTTTCTCTCATGGCTTCCGTCCTTGCTTCGATAGCTCTTCTTTCTGCGGCCATCTCTTCTCACCAGGCTTTCGAGTCGGCGTCCAGTTTGGCCCCCATTTCTTCCTGGCTAGTTCTGATTTCCCTCAGCAGCAGTTCCATCATCTGCTGTGAGAACATTTTCTTTCCTTTCTTTTTCCTCCCCCCCCCTTTTTTTTTGCAGGATAACACTCGATGTACTCGTAAATTCAACTATTCTTCAAGGCGTGTTTAAGTTCATAAACCAATTCTGACACCAAATTGTCACATATTGGGTGTATAATGTGACAAATAACTTCACGATATATTGGATATAGTGAATTTATTGCACATTCTCTCTTACATTCACACAATTTACAATTACACAATTACTGCCATCGGCAGTATCACAGCTCACTCTGGCGAATGCTAGACTGCAACTGACTGGTTACTCATTACTACTCACTACTCCTGAATGAAGTGAAAGTGAAAGTGACATTGCGACTGACGGTCAGTCAGTCAATAAGTCTTGGTGTCGAGCCCCATCTGGGACTCATGACCAGATATTTATTACTCTTTGACAGTTACGGTCTTGTTTTTGTGGAATAGTGTTCGCTGCTCCTTATTTAGGCTCAGCACGGATAACATAGAAAATGGTACCACTGTTGCATAATGTCGTATTTACCGATTGCCTAGCAACAGTTGATGCATGGACTCCCCTGTTGTGTGACGCCGTGTTTACAAGGGCGTTGCTGGACAACGCTGCCGAGAGTTGTTTATTGGTGCATAGCAACTGCGGTGTCCCCTGTTACGTCACCACGGGGGAGGGGGACGGGGTGTTTACCGAGCGTTGCGCTGTCCACGTCACACTATGTAGATGTGTAAAATGATAGGTGGCACCTCCCACCCTCTTCTATTGTTCCTGGTAAAGGAAGGGTAATAATGCTCTTGCTTTGTGTTTGGCACATTCTGGGTTTGATCCTGAGCTCAGTGGTTGGCCATACAGATTGAAGGTTTTACCGTTTTTGTCAGTTCTTCCAAGTAAATGTTGGGAAGGCATCTTAACATATTCACTGCTATACAGGAATTTCACCTGCGGGTCAGACATTTTCATAAAAACTTGGTTCTGAAATTATACCATACATTCAAAACTTAAATGGAGAAGAATGAAAAAATAAAAAATCCCTGTGTATTTTGACTCTTTTGAGCTTCAGTAAGCCACATTTCAACTTTCTCTGCATCTCAGTGACATCTATGAGAGAAAATGACATTTATATTCACAATAGCAAAAGTCCATCACTTGTCAGGATTGGCACTGGCACACTGTAAACTTCAGCCTTTCACATGATGGAAGTGGGAGCGAGTCTGCTAAAATTGGCTGTGACTGTTTGCTTCCATAAAAGAAAACAGTCCGTGATTTTAGTCTGCAAGTGAACTATACCAACTGATCGACCGCCGCTTGTTGGCGAAGTTAGTGCCAACTTCAGTGGATAGAGGGTGTCATGTGGTCAGTGCAACGAATCCCCCATGGCCCTTAATCTCAGTTTTCTAGACCAGAGCCACTATTTCATTGAAATAGCTCCTCAATTATCATCACAAGGCTGAGTGGACCCTGTTCCAGACTCACTACTTCTAAGAAAAAATCTGGTAGCATTGGGAATCGAACCCTGACTTCTGGATGTGTAGCCAGGACTTCTGACCACTAGACCACAGAGGCTTCCATATCTTGCATAATGGCTTCCTAGTTAACATTTTGTTCAGTTCTGTGTAACATACTCAATTGAGAAAGCATCATCACAAAAAAAAAAGAAACAAGCAAAGAACTTATGAATGTATAACAGACAGTATATTGTCAGTTGTATTTTTTGAGAAAGGAGTTCTTTTCTTCTCACTTACACACTGATAAAACAGCATAACATGCTCCACAGAAGTGTTTTACAAACTGTTTTTTGCCTGTGAAATCCTTCTGCTTCAGAAAACTGTAGGTGGAACCCTAATTCAAAACTGTAACCTGCAGAATTGGAAAGAATTTTTACAGTGTGTCTTGTTAAGGTGCACAAAATGAAGTATATGCTTTAGCACAGAATGCCATCTACAAAATGGAAGTTTTTTTGTTCATACATGGTGCTATCTAAAAGTTCCCGAAATATATTAATAAAAACTATTACATCTTACCTGGACCTCATTCTGTACCATCACCTTCAAAGTAGTCCCCTTGGGAGTGCATACACCGATACCAGTGTTTCTGCCACTTTTGAAATGCATCCTGGAAGTCTTTCTTTGTTAGGGTGTTTAGTACCGTCTGCGTTTCCGCTTGAATTTCCTCAACTATATCAAATCTTCGCCCCTTCAACTTGATTTTC